GTAAATTTCTTGTCAAACCATACCATTTAAATTGGAAAAAAGATTGCTGGTTGTGAAGTATAGTTTTTTTGTATGTGTGTGTAAGTTTTATCAACAATTAGGGGTGGCAATTTTTCACCCATCCCGCTGAATTCACCCAACCCACCTAGTATTTAACCCACCAAGTATTAATTCCTTAGCTTTTTTTTTTAATTTTCTTCATTTGAATTAAATAATTTATAATTAATATATTAATTTTCTATTAATTATTTGACTAAATTTAGTTTTGTCTTGAATCAATACATTTCACCCAACATAAATCCAAATCAATTTAACCCGAGCCCAGACTAGTTCAACGTGGCCCGACCTGATCCAGCATATACTGATCCCGGTTGACACAAATCTGAAATAGACCCCGAGCGGGATGGTTCAGTATCACTTGCTTTGCCCAGTTTGGGTTGTCCGGTCCAACCAACACCCACACATCCCGATCCGACCCGGTTCGAACCAATCCGAGTCAACCCGAATCTGAAACGGGTTCGGGCGGGATGATTCAGTGTTCGTATGCTTTTCCTGGTACGAATCGTCTGCTCCGACCAATACCGACACAATCCGACTTGATTTACTCATGTGGACCCTCTTCGAGTTAATTGGTTCGGTCCAAAACCCGTGCACAAACCTAATATGGGCCAGTTCAAGTCAATCCACCATTGACTAAACCGGTCTGGTCCAATCGGACTGATTCAGATCTAAACGGTCCGATCGGTTTGAACCTAAGTGGTTCAGTCAAACCCGAAATCCGAACATAGTCAAATGGCTTCGCCACTTGTGTAAAAATAACATGCATGTAATGTGATTTGAACCTTCACCACTTGTGTAAATAGTAACTACTATTACCACCAAGCTATGACTAATTTATTTGTTAAAAGAGAGTTAGTTTGTTTTTCTAAGTCCATAAGTATAATATTAATGCGTTTGGGTGGGTTGGACTAGGTTAAAGCGGGTTTGGGTTGAACCCAACCCATTTAATTTTATATAACTGGGTCATTAATGGGTTGGCGGGTTAGATGGGTTGGGTTGAAGCTCAACTCAAACCAAATCCAACCCAACCTGCCCAATTGCCACCACTATTAACAACTTTAAAAATAATCACATTTAGTATTTTTCAATGCATTCCTTTTTATTTTTTGATAAATGAAAATAACGAATTCATTTGAGACAGCCATAGGGTGGATTCAAAAGGCCATGTAAAACTAAAATGAAGCGAGTGTTTGGATCCATGGGTGTTTATTGAATAAGTGCTGCCACATAGGCATCACTTCAGCATTTCCCTCATTATGTGGATTCGTATGCATAGAGACTTGCAGAACCAGTCATTGATTTATGTCTGTACCTATTATTGAAAGAAGCTTCATTTTAGCACTTCCCCCAACGGGTGGGTGTTTATTCACTGTTTTTCTGATGTGGTGCCTAATGTCGTCTAAATGTCAATAAACAAGTTCATTATTGCTTTTCTTGATTTTGCAAACAAATCAAATACAAACATTTAGTGAATAAACACCCACGGTTCCAAACACATTCGAATTCCATTTAATTAGCTTGATGCCTAAAACATGCTATAAAGTTGTAAATTTGCTTTATTCCATGTCAAATTTTAAAATAAACAAAATAATTTACTCCCACCATGATGGGAAGTGATTGGGTCATACCAATAAAAGGAGGGAGTCTCCTAACACAATTAATAGAATGGTGAGTTTGTTGATGGTTTGTGCTTTTCCCCTACCATGGTTCAAAGTATTGATACACTTTAGTGTATTGGTATTTTAATATATGCACTTTTTTTAGGTTTGTTTTTCGAATTTATGTTTTAAGTATATTTTTATATAAAACACCTATAAACAGATATATCAACACCTAAAGATATGATTACAATATGCCCTTTATCAAATGTATGATACTTTGAACCACCCCTTACAATTAAGCAATTAAGCAACGTTTTAAAAAATGACCTGGAAATGGAACTATTTTGGCCATTGGTTTCAAGGTTGATGGTCTAACCGTCCGGTTTGAACAGATGGACCATTCTGATGACAAACAAATTAAAAAAAAAGTCAAAACCGTTGAACGGGTTGATGGGTCAACAATTCGACCACCTGGGTCAACGGGTTGTTGACTTTTTCAATGGTTTTTGACCAAAAATCGAGTTTTGGGTAAAACGGAACTGGTTGCTTGGACGGTTCCAGGGCCGGACAGTTTGACCATCTGGATCAACGGCGGTTTGAAAACCTTGCAATTAAGTAACATAATTAATGGAATGGTTATAAAAAGTTATGGCAAATCACCACACTAGTTATTTTTAGGGAAAATTCCCGATCAGTACCTTATACTTTGGTTCGAGTGACAATTTGGTCCCCAAACTTTAAAATGCGACAATCCAGCACCCAAACTTTCAAAATGTGACAATTTAGTACCTGCCATTAATGGACCATCAGTTATGTATATCATGTGACCTCATGTATGACTTAAGGCTTATAAAAATGTTAAAATTACCCTTGAAAATAAAATACACTATTCATCATCTTCTTTCTCAAGAAGATATAACAGAGCCCAAGCTATTTATCTCTGAGAGAAGAAAAAATCTGGTTGAAAAACTAAATTGAGAGAGGAAAAAAAAAAGACCATTGCTACAATGAAATTCACCGAGAAACTAGTAAGGTGGGAAGATGAAATGATACCTGATTAAAAGCACAACTAAAGCAGGCATCATAGACCAAACCACCGTGCCAGAAGAACTTAGATAACGATGTGAGCTCGGATTTGATGCAATTTTGAATATGGACGCCTTACAAAATCCCAAGTGAGAAAGTAGCCACTAAAAATTGAAACAAAAAGCTTTTCTTTTTCCCCCCACCTAGTAAAGGATTTTTTGGTGAAGCTTCAACGTGGGATAAGCTTTGATGGTTAACCCATATACAAATTTAACTAGCAGAAGAGAGTCAATCAACATTTTCGAAGCACTGTTAACGCGGACGGTTGAGTTATTCGGCCCGGGAACCGTTCAGGCAATCGGTTCTGTTTTGCCCCAAATCCAACATCTAGTAAAAAACCGTTGAAAAATTCAATAAACTGTTGATTTGGGCGGTCGAACTGTCGACCTGTTCAACAATTTTTTACTGTTTTCTTTTTTTTTTTTAATTTTGCTTTTAGAACGAACCATCTATTCGAATCAGACAATCAGACCGTCGATCCAAAAACCGGTGGTCAGAACAGTTCTATTTCTGGGTCATTTTTTAAAACGTTGGAATCAATGTGCCATCATGATTAGTTCATCCTCAGCACCATTTTTCCATTCTGGTTGCAGTAGTGAGGATGAAGCGAGAGAGGGGGAGGAAGAGGAGGGTTGGCATAGAAAAATCGCTTTGGAGCTTCATCCCACCCTTCGCTTTGTATCTTTGCTATTTGGTTGATTATCTTTTAAAGGGAAAAATAAAAAAGGATGAAAGTTTTGACTGTTGGTTTTAATTTTAACATATAATTGATAAAAAATTTGGATAATACTTGAAGGACATTTATGTCTTTTCATATACCACTTAATAGATGATTAACGACAGGCACCAGATTGTTGGATTGTCGCATATTAAAGTTTGAGGACCAAATTATTTTCACCACATTAAAAATCTCACAACCTCCTCAATAACTTCTTCAACTACTTTAGCTGTAATCAAACTACTTCTGCTAGTCATATCATTCAAATAGCTCCACCTCGTCGAGTTTGAAGCGGCGTTAGTTTATTTGCTTTCAAACAAACTCTTATGCTGCTGCTGACTTTTCCTACTAAATATTAAATAAGGGGGAAGGGACAGAGCAGAATGCCGGACAGAATGTCTCGTTGGTACATGCATAGAAAAGTAGGTAGTGATGTCCATCCCAAAATAATTTCCTAACTTATATTTTGGGTTTAATGTCACTCTCCCAATTTAAAATATGACAATTCAGTACTTAAACTTTCAAAAAATATCATTCTTAATCAGTCATTAAGTGTCATTTAAAAAAAAGATACAAATAATTTTCATATGTCATCTAATTCTCTTTATCAGTCATCTAAACTTGACAAAAAATGAACAATCTCAAATCTTTATCTATTGTATTCAAAAAAGTTGAAGTCAGATCTCAATAGGCATTATGATAATTAGGGGTGTTCATGGGTCGGGTTGGGTCGGTTTATTAGGGTTTTCCCAACCGACCCGACCTGGTCGGGTTACCTGAGGTGGAAACTGAAACCGACCCACTGATAGGCCAAACCGACCTGGCCGGTTTGAGTCGGGTTGGTCGGTTTCGGTTTTATTCCTGTACAAAAGGACACCTAATTGAATTCTAATTGTAATTGCCTAATGGATTGCCTATTTGGTGTAAAAGATTATAGAAAGTTAGAAAGTAGGATAGATTGCTTATTCTAATTGTAATTGCCTAATGGGCCTTCTAGTTCTAGTAGAAGACTAGTTATAGTTAAATAGGAAACTATTCAAAGTAGGAACTACCGAACTAGTAGAAGACTAATTCGGTTCGAGTCGGGTTGGTTTCGGTTTTCATACAAGAAAAACGAAACCGACCCAATATATCGTTTTATATATTTCCAACCTGAAATCAACCAGTACTAATAAAAACCCGATCGACTCGGATTGAGTCGGTTTGATCGGGTTGGGCATTCTTATGAACAGACCTAATGATAATCCTAATTTTCTTGAATAGAAAAATAGATAATACTGAAAAAGCATACAGATTTACTGAATCGACACGCTTTGAAATACTGAATTATTCTATTTTAAAATTATGAGGACCAAAGTAACAATAGCCCAAAGTACAGGGTTGAGGGTACTACTCGTAAATTTTCCCTTAAAACAACTATCTATCTACAAAATCTGATGAATAGGGCCCATACAGTAATCGGTCCTTGATTTTGTTTGGAAAAGCCATTGAACTACATGGTTGAAAACCGTATAAAATGACATGAAGCGCATAAGTTGACACCAGTAGTCAGTCCATTACTAGTTGGTTAAGCTCGCCCATCTCACAGACACAGACGCAGTTTTTTGCACTCTGAGTCTGAGCTGAGAGCGATCAGCTGCCTACACATGGAGCCACCAACTTACAGAGCCAATATTCTGGAGCATTGCCGGATCGCTCCCCCTCCAAATTCCGCCACCGAAATGTCTCTCCCACTCACCTTCTTCGACATGTTGTGCTTGGTCCTACCTCCCATACAAAGCCTTTACTTCTACGAGCTACCACAGTTTGCAGATTCTCTCCTTCCCAACATCAAACACTCGCTTTCTCTCACCCTCAAGCATTTCTTGCCTTTCGCCGGAAACCTCACTTGGCCAAAGGACTCTGAGGTTCCTCTGATCCGTTATGTCGAGAAAGATTCTGTGTCTCTGACAGTCGCCGAGTCTGACGGTGACTTCTATCATCTCTCCGGTACCCATTGCCGAGACATAACTGAAATTCTTCCCCTCATCCCTGACTTGCCAATATCCGACAAACAAGCGCCGGTGCTGGCATTGCAGGTCACTGTGTTCCCAAACCGTGGCATCTGTGTCGCAACAACCATCCACCATGCAGTTGCTGATGGGCGAACGATATCTCTGTTCATGAAGACATGGGCTTCGATCTGTCGATTAGGTGGGGACTCGTCTTTGTTGCCTGAGTCTCTTCCGTTCTATGATAGGAACGTGATCAAGGACCCATCGGGGCTCCAGAAGGTTTTCCTGACCGAGTTGTCCAATCTGACCAGCGAATGTGAGGTTGAGTCTGAAAACTGGAGCTTCAAATTATGGGACAATGTAGCTCCGCCCAACAGCGTAAAGGCTATCTTCGAGCTCAGGAGGGATGATATCGAACGACTTAGGAAATGGGTTGTCAAACGACTGGCCAAAGACAAACAGTCGGCACAAGATTCAGTACCCCATTTATCTGCATTCGTTCTGGCATGCGCCTTTCTCTGCCATTGCCTGGTGACAGCAGGAGAAGATGAAAGCAGGGAGAAGACTTACTGTATGTTTCCAGTAGATTGCAGAGCTCGCCTGGAACCTCCGGTCCCTGCAACATACTTTGGTAACTGTGTCCGAGGTGGTATTGTAAGCTTAGAGACGAATCGTGTACTAGGAGAAGATGGGATGGTTGTGGCCGTGGAGGCCATTAGAGGAGCCATTAATGAATTAGAGAATGGAGTTCTTAGAGGTTTGGAGGAGTTTGTTTCAGCCATGTCCTCTATTGACGTACTTGAAATTATTTGGATTGCTTGGTCCCCACGGTTCAGGGTTTACGATACCAATTTTGGGTGGGAAAGGCCAAAGAAGATGGAGATATTAATGACGGCAGGATGTCGAGTGATTTCTCTGGTGGAGAGCAGAGATGGGGATGGTGGAATTGAGGTTGGTTTAGAACTGGACAGAAAACAAATGCAAGTTTTCTCTTCTCTGTTTGTAGATGGTATCAAAGCTCTTTGATCTTTGTTGAACCAAAACAAATTGCTATTTTTACTGCTGCAAGGTAGAGGGAAACTATAATGGAAATCTACTGTATTAATAAATTGCGCATCTTAATATCATAGAGATAGTACAAAGAAGGGTGTCCCCAAATTAATTTCAAAGTATGCAGTCCCGATTTCCTACTAACCCAATAAAATGATTCCAGCTGTCTCGATTTATGCATTAATTAAACGTTTCCATCAACTTTCTCTTCGACATTGGATTTGTTTTTCTTGTTGATGTCGATGAACAAGTGGCAGTCACAGAAAAGCTACAGCCTGGCCCGTAGACTAGACCTCGATGGCCTATCATGATCTCGGGACGACAGGAATCACCTCCGGGTCATGAGCCCACCTTGACGTGTCACGCATAACATGAGGAATGAGCTACTCCAAGCTCCTGCGAAGTCCCGACCAGACAACAACCTCAAAGGATCACTGAGCTGAAACCTGAGGAGGCAGTTCCTATCGAGACGAGCTGTACTAGAAGACGAGCACTAAACTCCACCACGTGTCCGGAAGTTGGCTACTTGGCAGCCCATGTAACAAAACTGTCAACACGTAAGACAGCATCATCAGTCAATGGGCCCAGGCCCACACCATGCATTTGCGATGTGGCAAATAGGTCAGTTGAGCATGATTACACCCGAGCATCGGGTGGCTTGATCGCCTACCAGGTGGTCCTCACCAGATTCCAAGTGTCCTGACCGGGTTCCAAGTGTCTTCACCAAGCCCTAGGTGTCCTGACTGGGTTTTAGGTGACCTAACTGAGCTCCAGGTGTTCAAGGACAAATACCAAGTGTCTCGATGTATGATAGATGTCCTGCATCTGCCCGACACGTATGCTCCCATCATGCATCTGGAGGACTCCCCCTTCGGACAACTAGGCGACTAACTTGATTGTCAGAGTTACAAGCCCGGGATATCACCCTGGGCCCTCTGACCTCATCTCCCCCCTTTGCATGTGAATTCCGATCTACTTCGAGGACCTCGCCAATTTTGATCTGCATCAATTAGCGCTGTTTGTAGGAATCTCTAAACAAAAACATCGGTAAACTTACCTCTACTCTACTAGCATATCTCAAACTTCCAAACACACCCATCAGACCTCTCACCATTCTCCCGCTCAGACCTCCAGGGGGCATCCCCGGCGCTCCCCCTCCCCTAAAGGGCTCCAAGGAGTCTCCTGAGAGGAGTTCAATGACTTAGTCCAGATTGTCAAAGACATGAACTTCAGGGTCCATGCACGAGATGAACTCATGCAGATAGTAAGACAAGTCATGCGAGACACAGTGATGGAAGCAGCACAACAAAACCAGTAGCTACCACCACCTCTCGGAGATCACCCAACACAACCGATACAAGAAAACCAGGTCATCCAACACGTCTAGCAAATACAACAGCATCAGCCAACTCCGAATGTACCCCCACCAGATCCATTTCAGCACGACAAGAGGCACAAGGAATGAAGAGATAGATCGCCTTCCAACCATGATAGACATCGAGGGGACTGGCCCAAGCAAGGGACGAAGGACAAGATCAGCACAAGAGGCATCATCATCGGCCAGAACCACCTGCTCGAGGTTCGTATGTCTCTGGGGAGATAAGCAAATCAAACTCTTCCCTTAGGGAAGATCACTCTTAGGCATCCTAGCATCAAAGGAGGCAGCAACACCATTCTCTAGATGATAACCAGGATGAGAGAAGAGAATGCCATGATAGGCATGATTCCGCTCATCAAGAAGATGTAAGTAGACTAACTTGCAATGTGCCCCTTGCGGCAAAGGTATCTCCCCTCATTCCAAAAATCCTGGTGGAACCACAACCTCTGGAGTTTATGACCCCGACCTTCGAGACATGATGGTACAACTGATCCAGTAGACCATATGGAGAGCTTTCAAGCTCTGATATTGGTTCACAACACTTCAATGGATTTAATTTTGGAGTTTGAATCTCTTGCACTCGGAACGGTGTGTGCCAGGCTGCACTTTCACTTGTAATTTGTTTGAAGTGTGATTCAAAAGTTTAGTAGGGTTAGTTTTGTCATTTTAACTTTTTGTTTGTTGTCTTTATTTGTACACACCCACACAAGTTACATGCTTACATAAGCTTTGACCTTTGCCAAAAATTTTCAATCTCTTAGTTTTCTTGAATCTCACATTGGAATATTACAAGGGAAGTGTTAAGCCTATTACT